CCTGTCTCTGCCTCCCAAGTGCTGTGATTAAAGGCATCTGCCACCACTGCCCGGCTAAGTATTCTTAAAACAGTAGGACTCGCAAGCTGGTATAGTGTTGCACCCCTTTAATCCCAGCACTTGGGAGGCAGAGGAAGGACGATCTGTGAGTTCGAGGACAGCCAGAGCTACATGTGAGGTCCTTTTTGGGGGGTGGGGACAGGACCCTAACTCCTGGCCTAAGGTAAACTCTAACTTTTCAAATGGAATTTAAAATATTGTTTTTGAGAGGAACAAGGCTAGAAATACATCATGGGGATAGAACTTGAAAAGTAATTCCAGCTGAGTGTAGCCTCGAAGGCCTGTATCCTAGCACTCCAGAGGCCAAGGCAAGAGGATGGAGAGTTCGAAAACAGCCTTAGAAAGAAGAGAAGATCTAAAATGGTGAGATTATTAATTGAAGCAGAAAAGTGGCACCATTCTAAGTAGAGTGGTTATGTATGTAAATAACTACAATTGAGTTGAAAATACATCGTGAATCAAAGACTGTGTTCTGTGTTTAGGAGCTAGATGGCTACGTTTAAGAGCACTTGTTGCTTTCCCAAAGAATCCATATTTGGTTCTGGCATTAATGTTGGTGGCTAGCATCTACTTGTAACTTCAGCCAGTACCTTCTTCTGCTCTCTGCAGGCACCAACACACACACACACACACACACACACACACACACGCGTGCGCGCGCGCGCACGCTCTCTCTCTCTTTCTCTCTCAAAGAAACAAAACAAGACAATCTTTAGAGTAATTATGGTAGCAAAGCCAAGTTCCCTGCACGGAACTGTAGTTTTACAGAGAGACTGGGGGCCTGGGAACTAGCTTGTCTGGCATGAACATGGGTTCCATTCCCAACACTGCAAATCACCATAGTGGGGCGCATCTGCAATCCTGGCACTTGGAAGGCAGAAGCAGAAAGATCAGAAATTCAAGGTCATCTTTAGCCACACAGCTGTGTGAGGCTAGTAGGGGATAAAGGGGACTGTTAAAAACAACAACAACAAAGCTACTAACTACTATAAATTCCCCTAATAATCTTGTACTTCTGGCAATCTAAACAGCAGATCTAGTTTTTTTAGGATTAGTCTTTAGGCTCGATTGCCACCTAGTGGTATGCTGCTGCTATTTTGAGACCCTGTCTTGTTAGGGTTTCTTTTGCTGCGATGAAACAATGACCAAAGCAACTAAGAGAGTTTATTTCACTTACATTTCCAAATCGCAATTCTTTGAAGGAAGTCAGGGCAGGAACCTGGAGGCAGGAGCTGGTGTAGAGGCCATGGAGGGTGCCGCTTACTGGTTTGCTGGAACTACTACGCTAGGGATGGTACCACCCACAACAGCTTGGACCCTCCCCCATTAAATACTAATTAAGAATGCCTGACAGGTTTGTTGGCTTACAGCCCTATATTATGGAGGGAAGCGCTTTCTCAACTGAGGTTTTCTCCTCTGAGATGACTGTAGTTTATGTCAACTAGACATAAAACTAGCCAGCACAGAATCTAAATAAGAGATCTTGGCCTCCATCCCACCTTCAGAGTCATCCAGTCTCATCCACAAGGCTTTTGTCTTTCCTTTCCATTGCTAAGAATAATAACAACAGCCACGCTTGTCCCAGTAAAACAAGGGCTTGAGTCAGTTTAACTAGGGGACCACTCCCAGGTCTCAGTTCCCTCCTCTTTTGGATGAGAACGGTAGCATCTGCTTCATTACGCCAGTTAGGACCTGGGAAGATGGTTCAGTGGGAAGTGTTTGCCTTGCAGTAAGGACTGGAGTTTAGTGAGATATCCACCCCGCCCGAACCTGTAGCACTGACCATGCCCATTGGGGGTGGGGACAGGTGCGGTAGTGACCTGGGGGAACTGGGCCTGGGACCCCAGCACTCTCTCTTGCCTCCTGGTCAGAGATGGAGACAGATGACATCCAGAGGCTTCCTTGGGAAGGGAACCTGCTGGCGGTCATGTTTCTGCTGTGAGTTTTCCCCTGAACATCCATCAGCCTGTTTTCCCAGATTCTTATTTATCCACGATATTGGGGCACCCACATAAAGCTAGGAGTGACAGCTCATGTCTGAAACCCCACACTGACTGAGCCAAGACAGGTAGTTCCTGGGGACTCAGTGGCAGCCAGTTTAGCTAAAATGGTGAGCTCCAAGTTCAGCAAGAAACTGTCCTAAAAAAAAAAAAAAAAAAAAAAAAAGAGACTCAGGCAATGATGGCACTCGCCTTAATCCCCACACTTGGGAGGCAGAGGCAAGAGAGCTCAAGGCCAGTCTAGTCTACAGAGTTCCAGGACAGCCAGGGCTACACAGAGAAACCTCCAAAAACCAAACTATACCAAAACAACCAACCAACCAAAAACCCAAAAAAGCAAAAAAGATTTAGGTCTGGAAAGAGAGCTCAGCAGGGAGAAGTGCTTATAACTCTCAAGAGCTGAGCTCTACCCCAGAAACCACATAGGAAGCTGTACGCAGTCTCCTGCACCTGTAATTCCCGCTTTCAGTGGACAGAGAGACAGTCACCCATAAGCTTGTGGGCCAGCTAGCCTGGAGTACACTGCACAGCAGAAGGGAAATCGAGACATAGGAAGGACATCCCCCACCCCCATGCCGAAAGGAAAAACAAGCAGCTAGGATAAAGTGCTTTGCAACAGTGTCTGAGCCACATACACACTAAATGGTGTAAACCGGTATAAACTGCAATCACGCACTTAAGAGTGCTTAAATGGGAACTCAAGGGTTCAGTCTTTTATACTATCCCCCACCTCCCTTTTTGAATAAGGATTCTTGCATGCTAGGATGATCTTCAACTTCAAATACTCCTGCCTTCATTGTGCACCACCATCACCAGTTTTCAGTGCTGGGAATGAGCTCCAGGGATGCAAGCTTGCCAAACAAGCACGCCACAGAGCAAATCTCGGGGTTATTTTCCTTGTTTTTAAACAGATTCTATGTAACCCAGGCTGCCCTCAAAACGTCCCCCTAGCGCAGCTTCCTGAGGATTACAACGCACAGCGCCAAGCCCAGCACTGGATAACCAAAATCCAGTTCATGGTCTCAGCAAAGCATTTCAGCACAGTATTTGAGGATTGATGTCACAGTGGGGTTTTGCTGTGTCATAGTGCTTTACAATGTCACATTGTTGGGTGGTAGGTGATGCCCTGTGATGCCACAACCACAGTGTAGTGACACAATGATCACAGCGGTGGCAATGTGGAACACCGTCCTGTTATTAGTGGACGCGCTAGTGTCTATGGGACAGCTGCATCACAATAGAGTCCTGCGGCTTCACGCCAGTGCTATAATGCCGCCCTGAATTCTATCGACTTCGATGGCATCAAAACGAGCCATGTCACATTTGAGTGTTGGGATGACAGTGGTCTGCTGTGTCCAATGCAGCACTGTGATGGCCGTGTTGAGTTTTGTATCTGTGGATACCTTGCCCGCATGCACATGTGCACACATTTGTTACCTGGTGCCCTTGGAGGCCAGGATAGGGCAGTTAGTGATAACAGTGGGTGCTGGGGATCAAACCTAGATCCTCTGGGGAACAAGTGCTGTAAGCATCAGCCATCTCTCCAGCTTCCCTTGTTTTGCCTTAGGTAAGTATACATAAAGTATAAATGCTCACATTACAGTTTCTGTAGAGGTGAAGGTGTTTCCTTCCCAAATCACCGGTAAACACTGGACTGTTGATGTCCACATGAAGTGAGATTTTGTTTCTGGTCATAGCCAAGTAGATGTCACTCCCTAAACATGATTTCAATAAATGCAGACGTCCACGTGCTGAGGCCAGAAGACATCACAAGGATATAAAATACAATGATGTTTGAGTCAAATGTGAAAATGGTCCCCAAAGGGAGGGAGTGCCTCTGTTTATAGGTATGATACTGGAGCAAGTACAGGCAGGCTTTGAGGTCTCACAGTCACTCAAGCCACAGCCAGTGTCTCAGTCTACTCCCTGTTGCCTGAACAAGATGTAGAACTCTGAGCTACCTCTCCATCACCATGTCCCACCGTAACGGACTGAACCTCTCACTGTTCCTTCATAAGAGTGGCTGTAGTCATGGTCTTCACAGCAAGCCTAAGACAGTATCTAAAAACCATTTCTTAGGTTTGAGGACACAGCTCAGTGGTAGAGTGAGGAGGGATGGCCTAGGTACAATCCTCAGCAGGGGGGCGAGGAGAGATGCTAGGCAAGGAGGGCCACAACAAATGAGAACTGGGCTGGGAAGGTGACACAGCACTTGTCACACAAGCATGAGGGCTTACGTTTGATTCAGAACCTAGAGAAGAACCAGGCTTGCTGATGAATCCCTGCTCAGAGAAAAAGATCTCAGGCTTTCTGGTGAGCTCTGTGAAAACCCACCACAAAGAGGAGCTCTGATTTCCACACACATGCCGTGGCCTGTATGTGCCCCTTTCTTCTCTAGCATCAGACATAGACAGACATAACATAAAGTGACTGAAGAAGAAATATTTGGCTTACATCACACACAAAACATCGTAAGCGTTTAACCCACCACATTCTGCCTTGATTCTAAGTTGTAGTCATTAGCTTAAACAAGCACTAGGAAACTAGTGTCTGCTGGTGAATGGGAAAGGCTCTCACACTCAGCATGTGTTCACCTAGGTCCTGAACTCAGCACCGGGCCATCAAGGTGCTCGGTGTTATGGCCTGAAGTCAGGTTCACTAAGAGCCCCCTCTCAAGCTGCGCGGTGGTGGTTCATGCATTCCATCTCAGCAGTTGGGAGGCAGAGGCAGGCAGATCTTGAAGCCAGGTTGGTCTACAGAGTGAGTTCCAGGACAGCCATGGCTACAGAGAAACCCTGTCTTGAAAAACCAAACAAAAATAACAGAGTCCTATCTCAAATGAGTAAGAGGCAGTGATGTAAGACCCCGGACCTCCCCTTTGGGCTTGTGTGCGCTCACACTCGACACCTGGATGAGAAGACTGCTCAGTGGAGATAGGTATACTTAACAAACCTGTATTAGCAATACGAAAGTACATACGGGGTGCTCACAGAAACAGGTGATGGACCCCGGCCCCCAAAGTACACAAATAAATTGTAGCAAAGTTTGGTCACAGTTGGAATCTTCAGCATACCTGCTGGAACTGATCCGTCAAGCCCGCATTGGGTGAAAACAAGTTATCCCAGACCCTCACAGTGCTTGTGCAAATGTGTTCACACGTGCACTTCCAGTGTCAGCGGTCTGAGGCTGAAGCCTGACACATTCTTTTGGGTTTTATATGCACAACTACCAGGCAATCAAACAGCGCGGGTGGGGCCAGCAAAGGCTGCTGCTGGTGTCTAACTAAGCCTGTGACAGAACACGGGCGGAGTAAACTAAGGGGGTTTGAACCCTGAACACAACTCAGGTCAGGAGGGCAAAACAGCCAAGTTCCTGATGGCTTTCCTCACTGGCATGAGCCACCACGGGATTTTCCTCCAACAGTCTCATCTATGGCTTGCACATGACTGCATCTGATGAAATAAAGTAGGCCTTTATATCAAAATCACATCTGTCCAGACGTGCACACAGATGCTTTCAGGATCACTGGTTGCTCTTCCTTTTTCTTGGTCTTTTTTTCCCAGAGCGGGCAGGTGTTGGAGTCTTTTGCCCCTCTTCTTTCACCGCGGACACAGGCTGTTTGAAAACGATTTCATCGTCTTTACTGTCACCGATTTCAGTCACTTCTGATTTTCGTCTCTCCAAAAACGTTGGTGTACAAACTGGTGTGGGACCCTGAAATCAGGAAGTCCATTACAGTCCAGGATGGAGAACAGGCAACGAGAACAACCACCCAAGATCACTGTCTCCTAGCTTATCAGGAATGACCACCCAACACCACTATCCTCCTAATTTTAAGTTGTACCATGTGAACTATTTTCAGCCTGTTTTTACCTCATGCTGACACCATCGAAGATGGTCAGAGACTTTAGGAGCTTACCAAACTTACTTAGCATGCAAATTCATGGAGTGGATGGTTTACTATAAGACATTAAATACAAAGTTGTTAAGTTACTAGTGAGGGATCTATCAAAATGTCACAAGATTCAATCTGGTATTGAGCCAAATGGATGGTTTATGTTGGTAACTTCAGCTTTCAGGAAGCAGGCAGGGGCTGGGGCAGAAGATCAGAAGTTAGGTTAGTTTGGGCCACAATGTGAGTTGGACGACTACCTAGACTACATTAGATCCTGTGTCAAATAATCAAAGACAGCTAACTTCAAAACCTCACCCAGGGAACAGTAGTGTCTGCTTTTCCTCCTTCAAACCATAAGTGCAGTAACTGGCTCCCAGAGCATGAGGACACACTCACCTGGCTGTCCACAGACTTCTTGGACTGCCTCTTTTGCTTGTTACGAATGCGTTTGACAATTTTCTTAAATGTCTTTCTCTCCTTTTTCTTAGGTATACCTGAAAGCCTTTCTCCTGGGACAGGCAAAACCTAAAAACAAAGGTTAGGAGTTAAACAATTCGTACATTTCTCAGCTACACATACACTATAGTTGTACATATCTTTAAACTAGTTCATGATAGCGGACTAGAGGCATGCCTATAATCCCAGTTGAGATTACACAGCAGACCCTATCTCCAAGTCTTGACACGATGCTTCTGTGACTTTTAAAGACTGGGACCGGGCAAAGAGATAACAGACACCTGGCTTCTGAGGAAGTCTAATAGCCTGGAAACAGATGCCATCTCTCACCAACCATGTGTTTTAGAAAAAGGCTGACAGGTCCTATGGAAGATGGAAAATTTACTCAAGATTCAGTCAAGGAAAAAGGTAAGATCTTCAGCAACCCTTAGGTGTAGCCCTTTGAACCTACATTCTTGTTTTATAGTGAGAAACACCCAGTACTTCCTACTGAAGTGGAGGGCAAAGTCCAGCCAGCTTCCTCATCTCCTAACTAGCAAGGAAAATACCTTTGCAATTCACTCACTTCTTATTTCTGGGGTTGCTGTAGTCCAGCCCACACACCCTTGAAATCTATCACAGAATTGATGCTCAACTGTCAGAAGGAGATGATTTTATGGTCATTTCCAATTTAAAAGAGTAAGAAGCAAAATCTTAACTAGAATGCCACAGTAATGAAGATCAAGAGGCTGGAGAGATGACTCAATCTTGGCTGCTCTTCCAGAGAATCTAAGCTCAATTTTCAGCACCCACAGGGTGGACCACACTATCTGTGCATGCAAGCCTGAAGGCAGAAGGGCACTGGTGTCCTGTCCCAAAGTCTCTCACCAAACCTGAAGCTAGGCTGGTGGCCACCTATGTGTCCATGTCCCTCCTCTTCCTGAGGTGCAGGCATGTACATGAACATCCATGCTAGCCCTGGCATTATGCAGGAACTGGGATCTGAACTCAGGCCCTTGTATTTACATAGCAAGCGCTCTTCCTCATCTGTCATCTCCACCTGATTTTAAAAGCTTTTCAGAATCCACAATGTGCCCACTGGGCAATGGTGGTGCACGGCACACGCCTTTAGTCCTGGCACTTGGGAGGCAGAGGCAGGTGGAGCTCTTTGAGTTCGGTGCCAGCCTGGTCTACAGAGTGAGTGCCAGGACAGTCAGGATTGTTGCAGCATCATAAAGCACAGTCCCAGCACTAGGGATGTGGGAGGCAGGAGGATGAGAATGCCATCTTCAGAACATAGGAAGTTGAAGATTACCAGGTCTCAATCCCCTCCCCCAACTGAAGTCTTAACAAAAAGCAAAGTAGGAGAAATTACTTGCTTTTTTCAGGTAATCTGCCTTAAATTTTTTTCTTAAACTACTTTGTGTGCACATCACATGTGTGTAAAGGTCAGAGGACAATTTTAGGAGGCAGCTCTTTCCTTCAGAGATTGATTAGGTGAAGGAAGTGAGTGCCCTCATTCCAAGTCATCTCACCAATATTCCTGAAAGTATTTCTATAGTAACCAGTGGCCGGTTTTGAGCCAATCTCACCTGGGTACCCTCGGACTCCTTGGGATTCTCAGGGGTGCTAGGAGTGTCCTGTGAAGTCCCTTTCTTCAGCTTAGGTAAGACCTGCAAATAAAGTTTGCACATTTATAAGCTACATAAATATGCTGTGGCTGGATGTCTATTTTGAACATCAACGTCCAGTTGCCAAAGGAAATGGTTAGTTCAAATACAACTGTGAACAAAGGCTTTGCTATTACACAGGTGAGTATTACATGCTTACAATCACAGCACTTGGAAGCAGAAGGATCTCCAATTTGTGGGGAACCTAAATCATGTAGCAAGACCCTGGCTTAAAGCTGCTATTTCAGAGGACCCAGGTTCAATACTCAGCACCACATGATGGTTCACAACTACTTGTAAACTAGAGTTTTATGGGTTCAATGCCCTCTTCTGGCCTCCAAGGTGCCTGGTATCTATCTGGTACATAGCAGGAACAAAACTGGCAGGAGTCGGGGGATGTAGTTCTTATAAAGCAGCACCCTAAAACCCCAGGTTATACCTTCAGGACGTGTAAGCAGGAAGACCAGAAATTCTGTCATCCCCAGCTGCGTAACAAGTCTGATGCCAGCTTGGAACAAAAGACCCAGTTTTAGCTGAGCACTGGTGGCGCACACCTTTAATCCCAGCACTCGGGAGGCAGAGGTAGGCTGATCTCCGTGAGTTCAAAGCCAGCCTGCTCTACAGAGCAAGTTTCAGGACAGGCTCCAAAGCAATACAGAGAAACCCCAAAGAGACAGTCTTAACACCATCAACTGCAGCAGCAGCTGCCTATGTGGGGCTATAAGCCACCTATTCACTGAGGAACTCAAGAGGCAGAGGCAGGAGGAACTGCATTCAAACCAATCCACGCAACTCACTGTGATTTTTTCCTCTAAAGGAGGACAGTGTTTGGGGGTGGGGTGGATGGATGATGCACGCTCAATGCTCTGGGTCCCATCCTCAGTACCATCAACATTAGAAAGAAAGAACCCACCCTGCGGTGTTTCAAAGTTTCAGCGAAAACCTTAGCACAAACTGGACAAGTATTTAGCAATAGACCACTTGCCTAGCATGAACAGAATCTAGCCTGGCCGCCAACCAATCAAAAGAACCACGGGCCCCGTACCCAAAACCTAGCACGTGAGAAGCCCTGCAATAGTCTCCATGATCACACAGACTTTTGTGAGGTAGAAATCCCACCCCAAAGAGAAACTACCGAGCAAACCTTAGGAAAGGACACTTACCAGCGAGGGGAAACTATAATCAAACCCCTTCTTAGCTAGCTTCTTCCGGAGTAATTTTTCCTTCCTCTTGAACCGATATTCCATCTTCAACATTTCAAAACGCCCCCGTTTCTGATTATAGCGTTTTACTGATGGAAATGATGGCTGATGAAACGGAACATTCCATTCTTTAAAAAGATCTTTATGGACTTTTTCTGGTGGCATAAATTTACCTATATATGAAAAGAACAAAACAAACAAAACCCAAAAAGGATCTTAGCTTTAATTTTGTATTTTTCCTAGGGCCATTTCTTGTGGTATGAACTAAATTACATGGCAGAAAATAACTTTTTAAAACTAAAAAAAAAAATATTATCGTCTAAACAAATGCCTGTGTGGGTTCACATGCTTCCATTACGCGGGTTCTCGGGATTGAACCGATTGTCATACTTTCACAGCAAGCACTGTTCCCTGCTGAGCCGCCTCTCTGCCCCTTTTAGCACCGGGTCTCATGTAGTCTAAGCTGTTTCTGAACACCCTGTGTTGCCTAGAATGACCTTGAATTTGTGATCCTCCAGCTTTCATGTTTGATGTGAATACAGACATTAAAGCTTATGCCATCAGACACAGTGCATGTGTCCCTAGGGATGAAATTCAGAGCCCTGTGCATGCTAGGCCAGCATTCTACCAACTAAGCTACACTCCCAGGCCCAGAGACGACCCCATTCTACCCTGGGGGGCTAACAGTCACAGAGTCCATCCTGTACAGACCAGTCTGCAGAATCCAGGGCCCTTGGTAATGTTTCCCTTCAAGGCAGATGAGTGAGCCCAGCCACTTTCCCTTTCAAGAGCCACGCTTTCAACTGAGCACGGAACCCCACCAGTCTGTGGACTGGTCACGGGACAGGGCACACACTACCGTGGGTGTCCTGGGATGGAACCCAGGCGTTAGCGGCTGCAGCTGGCCTTGTGTACAGTGAATGGACGTGTATCTGGATGAGTGCATCTGTGCAGAGCGGGAGGAGCTACATGGTTTTCTGCTTCACCACCCGTCCTGTTTCCTTCAGGGCCTCCCACTGAACCTGGAGCTGGCATGCCATTCAGTCTCTTGTTATCCTGTTCAGACCCATGAGTGGGCTGTACCCAGACCTCAGTATAAACCCTGAGTTTTATGGGTGTTAAGAATCTGACCTGTCGCCTACATCCCCCATTCTGGTTTCCTCACAGTCCCCAACAACTAAACACCAGTCAGGCCTGGTTTGGTATTGTCACCCTTTTGGTCAGAGATGACCTCAGCCTGCACCTCCATCCCTTTATCCAGCCAGGGCCTCTCTAACATCAACATCCCCCTCCTTCTCTGGAGACAATTCTGCCTGCCTTTGCCTCCACACCCCATGTGCTGAGATTAAAGGCATGGGTCTCCATGGTAGGCTTTAATGGTACCAATCTTCTATTTTAATCAACCATTAAGGATGGGTTAGCTCTTCTTCCCAAGGACAAGCCCATGCTTAACCTCAGCAGTGTAGAGACAGGCCCCATGCTAGGTCAGAGTACTTACACGATAAAAGTCTTTCACCAAAAAGGTAGTTGTCCATTGTTTCTGCAACTATCTTGGCAACATCCTCAGACTCAAACTCCACAAAGGCATATCCTCTGCTGTTTCCCGTCTGCAACAGAAAACCCACAGAAAGAACAGGTAAATCTAACACGCCACCAAGCTCCTAACATGTCCCTGTGGGTGCCCAGGAGACACCACAGCCACAATTTCACCACCTCAACTCCAACCCCACTCCACACACTATGGAACAGTTACACAAAAAGAAAACAACCATGACAGTCACAACTTGGGATAAACAGATTTTCTGCTATCCTTAAAACTCGCCCCAGTAAGCTGGGCAGTGGTGGCACACACCTTTAATCCCAGCACTTGAGAGGTAGGGGCAGGCGGATCCTCTGTGAGTCTGACACCAGCCTGGCCTCCAAGAGCAAGAGCTAGTTTCAGGACAGGCTCCAAAGCCACAGAGAAACCCTGTCTCCAAAAAAACAAACAAACAAAAAAACTCCCCTCAGTAAGATATTATTCTGGCTTAGAGGCTATGATTCGTTCAACAGCAGCACCCGGTGTTGCCATTTTTGGGCTCCCACGGCCCTGGACTTTTGTTATGTAATGTTATTTCACTAAGAACACATCAGATATCAGTAAGGGTACTGCTGTAACTCTAGTTACATGGGAGGTTGTGGCAGGAGGAGCTCATGGTTCTTATGAGTCTAATTAGGCCAATCTGGGTAACTTAGTTAAGACTTTGTCTCCAAAGGAAAACAGGAATGTAACTGAGCACTTACCCAATATGTCCTGGGTTCAGTCCCCAGTACTAGACGGGAAAACGCAGGCAGCACCACCTCATCTCACACGGTAAGAGTAGAAACAACCAACTCTCCAGTGTCACCAGGCTCACCAAGAAACTGACACTGAGTCTCCAGCCCAGGGAAAGAAACATGCCAAGGGTCTCTGAAATGCAGGCCCTGAATTCCTAATCCCTGCTCACAAGTGAATTTCCTTACCCATATTATTCTCAAGTGTAGCATGCGGTCTGGAGTTCAAATGCCTATGCTTTGATTCTGGCGCAGACACCGACTTGTGTTAAGTGACATGTAAGCCTCAGATTGTCATTCCATGGAATGAGGACAATAAAACAACCTGTCATCAGGTTGCTGTGAAACCTCACGTGTGTGTTTTCCACCCCATGCTTACAGCAAAAGTGCTCTTACCATTAAGTCATCTCCCTGACCCCCAACCACCTAGAACTTTGAAGCAGTCTCTCACTGGCCTGGAGTTGGGCAAGGCTGGATGGTCAGCAAGACCCAGGGATGCAGTCCCCACCTTCTTAGCATTGGGATTACAAGTGCACATGACCACATCTGGCTCTTGACTTGGGCTCTGTAGATTGAGAGTTATAGACTGAGATACCTCCCCGCCTTATGATTTCGTCTTTCTTTTTACTGAGACAGGATTCTACACTATGCAGCTATGGCTGGCTTCAAACTCACAGACCCGCCTGCCTCTGATTAAAGGTGTACACCACTATGCCAGGGTTATTTTCTTGCGACTCCACTGCAACCTGTGAAGTTATTTACTTTATAGTTAGGCTCCTTATGTATCCCTGGCTGTGCTAGAACTCATGACACAAACCAGGCTGGCTTTGAACTCAACAGGGATGTGCTAGCCTCTGCTTCCAGAGTGCTTGGATTAAAGGTATGTACCACCACGCCCAGCTACAAAAGATGACACACAATGGAAAAACAAAAACAGACACAGTTGAATTCAGACACATCTTACCCGTTTACTTCTGGACAATCTGAACCTGCTAATAGCTCCAAACTGGGTGAAGTAGTCATAGATGTGGGTTTCAGACAGCGTTGAAGGCAGGTGGCCCAGAAAGATCACTCCAGGATTAAGATTTCCTTCCTTCTTTTGCTGAGGACAAAAACAACACACATTTTAAAAACACAAACTCACACTGCACCAAAACTTGTGTGTGTGTGTGTGTGTGCGCTTATCTGAACAGGGTCTCACTATGGAACCTTGGTTAGCCTGGAACTCACTATGTGGAGGCTGGCCTCTAACTCCTGGATGCTGGGATTAAAGGCCTCCATTACCATGTCCTTTGAGGGATATTAATTCTACAGTCTTTTTTAGGGGAGGCAGAGATCTGCCTGCCTATGGCTCCACAGCACTGATGGTACACAATCACCTTGCCTGGCTTGAAATAAAACTTTCAAAACCCTTCACTCCCCTTGGTCCAGGAACCTACTTATATCTCCATCACAGCAGTAATTAAAGAGCTAGGTGTTTGATGTCTCTCTTCCCTTAAGGAAAGCTGTTGGGCTGCCATTGGTTTTCTTGGGGCAGCAAGATGGCACAATTACCGAGAGCCACAGTGCAAGAGAGAGACTCCCAAGGGTTGTCTTCCGACTTATGCACATGGCCACACACATATCCACGCCCCCCCCCCCCAGGAAGTCTTCCCAGTCTATCACCTCAGCGCAACGTGTTTGGCAAGCTAGCTTTATAGTGAGAGAATGGGTAAACAAGCAAATGCCCGTCACTGTCACGTTGAACCTGACACCTTCATCTCTGAGTTTATTCACACCTATTCGCAGTTGCTAACCCCCACACGCAGACTGTACTTCCCCGGCACCACACTCTAACCCAGGGAGCGACCCAGGCCTGCAACCGGAGCTGAAACTCAAGAAGTGGATACAAGGGTTTAAGGCCTCAGCTGCACAGTACATTTAAGGCTAGCGTGGGCTACAGCAGACCCTGTAATGACACTGAAAAGTAGAAACAAACAAAAACAACCAGAACCCCCCAAACAAAGCCCTCCCCCAAAAACAACAACAAGGGAAACCTTTCATTTCCTCCTGCACACTTGGTGCTATAAACCAAAGGGACTATAAACTTTTGTTAGGGGCCGCTGTGGACAAATGGAGCTTAACGTGTTTCTATTCTATTAGTCTCCCTTTCCTTTTTTCCCTTTCTTTCCGTCTGTCTCCCTTCCCTTCTTTGCGGGAACTGGAGAGATGGCCCTGCCCTTGCCTCGCGTGGGTCACCACCGTCCGGGCGACGTCGCTCTTCCTTTAGCGGAATGTGTCACTCTGCGGGCCAGGGCGGACGCGCGCCAGCTCCGACTCACCCTGGGGGCCGCCGGGGCCAGGCTCCTCCGCCGGGCGCCCCCCGTCTGCCCCGTCTGCCCCGGCGGCCCAAGGAGCCGCGCCCCACCCTGACTGCCGCCCCGCCTGGGCCCCCTGACGCGAACCGCAGTCCGCACGCCCCTGGCTCCCCACTCGGCCCGGAGCCCGCCCGCTCACCTTCTGCACGCGCTGTCGGACTTGCGTCACCTCCTTCTGGAACAGCGAGTCCTCCTTCGGGTTCAGCGCCAGACTCGGCTTCGCGGGACCAGCTACCACCGCCATGCCGGAGGGGGCCACGAGGAGCTGCCGGAAGCGGCGCTCCCGATCGCCTCTCGGAAGCGGAAGTAGAGGCCGGAAGAGGCGGGGCAAAGAACAGCTGGCCGCGGTGTCTGGGGTTGGGCGGGCTCGAGCGCCACCTACGGGCCATAAACGGAAACGCTTTGAAAATAACCCCCCCCCAGGCGGGCGTGGGGGGGGGAGGATGGGGCTCAGCAGGTAAAGGGCTTGCCCAGCATGCACTAAATCCTGGCTGGGAATCCGAGACTGGAGTCCCACGTCTGTAATCCCACACTCACAAGGTGGAGGCCGGAGGGTCAGGATGCCCTCGGTATACTGCCAGCCGGTCCTTCACTCATAACCTCCCGCCGACCCCCAACGCATTTGTGCTTTGCTTGTTATGAGGACATTTACATACATGTATAAATGTGTTTTGATCATACTCATCTCCTTTCCTCTCCCACTCCTGCTGGTGTGTGTGTGTGTGTGTGTGTGTGTGTGGTTTGGGTTGCATTCTTTGGTGACTGGGGACATTATTCAGGTTTTTCACATGTTTAGGGGACACCTGTGCATCTTTTTTTGAGAAATGTCTATTCAAGGGGACTGGAAAGCAGTTAAGAGAGTGTACTGCTCTTCCAGAGGACCAGAATTTGTTTCCTGGCACTCATATCAAGTGGCTTCCAGCTGCTGTAACTCCAGCTCTAGGGGATCCAACACCCTCTTCTGGCCCCTGACTGCACCTGTGCTCATATGCACACACCCACACACTTATAACACACACACACACACACACACTTAAAAATAACTAAATCTTTTTGTTTGCTTGCTTGTTGGCTTTGAAACAGGGTCTCACTCAGAGATCTGCCTGCCTCCATCTCCTCCCTTAAAAGCATGCACCACCAGCCAGGCATTGGTGGCCTTTAATCCCAGCACTCGGGAGGCAGAGGCAGGTGGATCTCTGTGAGTTTGAGATCAGTCTGGTCTACAGAGCTAGTTCCAGGACAGGCTCCAAAGCAATACAGAGAAACCCTGTCTCGAAAAACAAAAGCAAACAAACAAAACAAATAAACAAACAAAAAACAAAAGCAAAAAAAAATGCACCACCAAACCTTGTTAAAATTAAATAAATCTAAAAAAGAAATGTTTTTCCAGCCCTTTGTCCATGTTTCTCACGGGTGTGAATGTGCACGTGTGTTTGTATGTCTGTGGGTGAGCATGTTCAAAGATGAATGACATGTGGACATCAGAGGACAACCTATAGTGTCATCCTTGGGAGTACAGTCCACTCCTTTTCATACATAGGGTCTCTAACTGGCGTAGCTCCACCCGTTAAGGTAGGCTGGCTGGACTGTCTCCACATCCTCAGTGCTGGGATCACAAGCATCTCAGTAAAAGAACACATGTTTTGCTTGCATGCATGTGTGGGCACCATGTATGCCTGGTGCCTGACGAGGCCAGAGGATGTAGGGTCTCTGGAACTGGAGTTGCAGATGGTTGTGAGTCACTGTGTGGGTGTTTATGTTTATTTTTGTTTTATTTTGTCTTTTTCAAGACAGGGTTTCTCTGTGTAACAGCCTTGGCTGTCATGGAGCTTGCTTTGTAGACCAGGCTGGCCTCGAACTCACTGAGACCTGCCTGCCTCTGCCTCCTGAGTGCTGGGATTAAAGGCGTGCGCCACCACCTCCCCATATGTGGGTGTTTAAAGAGAACCTGGGTCTTCAGCAAGAGGAGCAAGTGCTCTTAACACTGGTCTCTTCATTCGCCCCAGCAGCTCATAGGTGGGGTAGTTGTTAGATCTGGGCCTGGGTGGTAGCTGAGTCGGTCAACGCCCAGCTCTCCCATGATTACACCATTGGGGCCAGCTCTGCTGTGTGCAGTAAGGAGCAGGGCCAGGTCACCATGATGCTCCATCATCAACATGTCCTCAGATGGCCACCCAGACCACGGATGTCTGCATGGCTTTTGGTGGTAACATGAGCTACACAGACCCCTGCTTTAACAGGGCCACGGACAGAGACATGGCTCTTGGTAGCAGCATGGCTGTAGGCATCACCCTGACCTCAGGGGACAGCACAGGCCTCTCACATCAGGCTGTTCCTCAGCATCAATATCTCCAGTCCCACCTCTCTTCATAGTATACACATCGCTCCGCTACCCCTCTCCTTTCTCTCCACCTCATACTCGCTCATGCTAGTGGTACCTGCCTTATGTCCTCTGGCCGCCTTCCACCCTGGCCTGAGCTGGGCTGATGGGAGTTGCCATTCTGTAAATAGGTTTCTCTTATTGGTTAATGAATAAAGCACTGTTGGCCAATAGGAAGGCAAGATAGGCGGGACTAGGAGACATGGAGGATTCTGGGAGATGTAGTAAGGAGACATAGGGACTGGAGAGAAGAGGTGTGGACCTTCTCTCTGGTAAGATTAAACCACGTGGAAACACTTAGATTGATAGAAATGGGTTAATATTTAAGACAGAACTAGCCAACAAGAAACACTAGTAACAGGCCAACAGGTTTATATCTATACAGCGTCTCTGTGTGTTATTTGGGGCTGAAGCGGCTCTGGGACCAGGCTGGTGGGAACACATCTCCTAACACTGGGCCTGCCCCAGCTTCTTTTAATTTAAACGTTTTATTTGTTGAGATTTCAAACACAAGTACTGTATTTATGTACAGTTGTCATTCCACAGGTCTTGCTTAGGCAACTGTATTGTTGAGATTCCATGGGCGCAGCTTCCCTTTCATGTCTAGAAGATACTGTCTCTTGGCAGGCATCCTCATATTCTGGCTCTTACCCTCTGGCCACTCTTCTACAATTCCCACTGGGGTAGGTGTTGGGGTTTCGTTGTAAATACATCAGTTGCTACAGGGCACCTCCACAGTCCCTTATTGATGGGAGATGTCATTCTGTAAATGTGTTTCTGGTATTGGTTAATGAATAAAGCACTTTTAGCCAATAGGAAAACAAGATAGGCGGGACTAGGAGACAAGGAGGATTCCCGAGGAGGGAGGAGGAGAGTCAACATGTAAGGCCAAAGGAGCAGAGGTCCGGGCCCTCTCTCTGGTAAGATAAGACCACGTGGAAATACTTAATATTTAAGACAGAGCCAGCCAATAAGAAATGCTAGTAACAGGCTAACAGCTTTATATCTATACAGCGTTTCTGTGTGTTATTTGGGGCTGGGGTGGCTCTGGGACAAGGCTGGCAGGAAAAGCTTCTCTTAACATCTTATTCTCTGCATGTTGACGAGCTGTGGATCTCTGTAATCACTTCCATCTGCTGCAAAAAGCAGCTTCTTTGACAAGAGTGTGCTCGCAGTATTTGACGATTTGACACAAACTAGAGTCACTTGGCAAGAGGCCACTTCAATGGAAATGTTTCCCTCATCAGATGGACCTGTTGGTGGGACATTTCTTGATTTACCTGTGGGGAAGCACAGCCCACAATGGATGGTGCCACCATTTTTGGGAGAGTAGTCTTGGGCTGTAAACTGGGGGGTCAGGCATAGTGGTGCACACCTTTATCGTATGACTCAGGCAGATCTTTGTGAGTTTGAGGCCAGCCTGGTCTAGTTAGCAAGTTCCAAGGCAACCAGGGGAAGATAGACCTTGTCTCACAAAAGGTTCCTGCCTTGAATTCCTGCCCTGACTTCTTCACTGGTGGAGTATGATCTGTAAGACGAAATAAAATCTTTCTTCCTCAAGTTAGTTTTAGTATTTTGCCATAGAAGAAAACAAATAGGTGAGAGCTATATTTGTCTGTGGATGTAAATATTTAGACCACGGTTAAAAATTATGTTGGATTAGGCTTGAATTCTCAAATTAAGAGGGCTTTACATCGAATTAGACAGCTGTGGTCTACCCATTGTAAAGCTGCTGCAGTTGCAATCTGGCGGCTGCCCTGCCAGGCTGGGTGTTGTTGTGGTTTGTGGGCTGTACAGCCTGGGAGGAATATTGATCACTTTTTTGCCCTTGGCAGTTTGCATAGTCCTTTCTGATACTATGAGAGCTAGTCCCTGGGGAAGAGGGTTCCAGGTCAGATCCAGCTCCCCCTGAGTCCTGCATCTGAAAAGTCCGGTGTTTTTTGTCTTCAAGTTATAACACTGTCTTTTGACCTCTTTGGGTACCAGACACACATGTGGTACACAGAAGTACATGCAGCAAAACACCCATTCATATAAAATAAAATAAGTGTAAAAGACATATTTTTTTAAAAAGAGAAAATTTTGTTTTTACCACCTATTAACATAGTATCTGGGTTTCCCATGACTGGAGAAGAAAACCCAATCATGTGTGTCCTCTGACCTCCATACATATGTTGTGGCTTGCATATGTACACACCAATATCCAAACACCCAAAATAATATAAAGTGTGATTGATTTATAAATAATCTTCATACTTTTTATGTGTATGAGGGTTTTGCCTGCATGTATGCGTCTACGAATGCGTACCCTTCATGTGCAGTGCCTGCAGAGGCCAGAAGAGGGCACCAAAACACAGGAACTGGAGTTAGGGATCTTGAGCCAGGGTTCTCTGCAGGAGTAACTATTGTTGCTCTTTAGCACAGAGCCATCTCTCTCGCCCTCCCCCTCCCCCTCCCTCCCGCCCCCTTTTTACCCCCCCCCCCCCCCCCCGTCCCTGAGGAGATTTCTTTCCTTAACACAATAGGAATTTCTGAAAAAACGTGGAAAGAGAAGTTTGTGAGAGTTGCTGTGGTAAAAGAGCTACCTTTCGGTCTTCTCCTCCTCATTGTTATTTATTTATTTATGGTTGATTTTGTGTGTGCATGTGCCTGCCTGTGAGTGCAGGGGTGTCCACCTTTGTGTGAGTAGGTCGAAGGACTTTCCTCCACTATGTAGTAGGTTCTGGGAACTGGACTCAGGGTCAGGCTTGCTGGAAAGTGCTCTCACCCGTTGAATCGTTTCACTGACTTGGTCTGAACATTATTTTAAGCCAAATACTTGTGAGATTCAGTAACACAAAGAGAAGCCTCTGGGAGCTTCCTTTGTCTAGG